TGTTGATTTCTATGCCAATTTCAAGTTTTCTAATCTTCTTGTAAAGTTTTTTGAGTTTGAAGTTATTAAAATTCTTAAAAGGAGTGCCGCATTTGTTGTGGATATGTTTTTCAAGCTTTTAAAGTGTGATTTATAGTTTTGAGATTGATTGTATTATATTTTGGATCTTTAACCTTAATATTTTAAGTATTAACTAGAGTAATTTTTTCTTTTTGGTTGATTATTGAATCATCCATAAGTATTGATATAATTGAACTTTAATGTATATAAAGCTTCATGATGTGCCACCAAAGCATCTTTGGTGTCTTCTTGTACTTTATTTTTAAATTATATTTCATCTTCTTATCAAAGAAAGTTTTTGAATTTATTAAAAAAAATGTATTTTCTCTTCTTAAGGTCATTTTTTTAAAGACCTTTTGGCTAATAGAAAGACTTGTAAGTACTATGTTAATTGTTTCTTTGTTTGAGATGATAACCTCTATTTTAGCAAGTTATCTAATGATATCATTGATGGTTCTTAAATGTTCTTCAATGATCATCTTTTTAATCCTTTTGTAGATTGTAGAAGTATTATTTGAAAGATAGCCTATAATTTATAAAACTTCACTAATATAGATTCTTAAGTTTGATCCAAATTTATGTAGGATTTGAAAGATTTATGATATGAGGAATAATTCAATCTTTTATCAGAAGTACAATGATCCTAGTAGCTTTGAAATGCAAGTCTTCAATTGAAAGTACAATTGTATTAATAGTGATAGACATAAAAAGAGTTGCAATTGAATCTATTATAATTGAGTACATTCTTATATAATATAAGCCATAAATTATGCACCAAAATCTTATTTAGGTAATTTTTGGTGTTTTGATAAGGTATAATATTAATTATTTGTTAATTTAAAAAAAATAGAGGTTATTAGAAAAGATAGAATTAATTATAGTAGGAGTATAGTAAAAAAAGAATGGAAAGTTATTCCATCTTTTAAAGCCTTAAGAAATGGTAAAGGAAGAAGATAAATAATTATTCTACTCTTGAAGCCACAAAAGATGGTGAAAGAAGAAGATGGAGAGCTATTCTATCTTTCAACTATTATTTCCACAACAAAAAAATCAAGTCAGCTATTAACTAATTCCTTTCAAAAGTTAATAAGTTGTTTTACATAAGTTTTTGGTTGATTAAGTTATAAGGAAGTAAAACCTATATATTGATTGATATCCATAAAGATTTATCATCACATTGTGGTAAGTAGACACCAATTATTAGTTTTTTCCACAGATGGCATTGGTTGGAGATCATGGGTGGTGTACATTCACCTCTTAATGACTAATGGTGCTGAACATATGGGTTAATAGAAGTGACATGCAAATTATACCACTTGTATGGATTAATTAATAGAAAGGCTTCCAAATTAGTTGTTACTTGTAAGTTATTGGCAAGATAATTGTTAATAAAAGGCTTGAGGGCTTGGGTATATAAGGCCCTCTCAAAGCCATATTCTTTATCTTTCTTTCTTCTACCTTTGGTTTGAGTCTTTAGTAAAGGTGGCCTATTGAGACACCAAAGAGTTGTGGTATTTTTATTGTTACAAATTTATGTTATAAATTACTTATTTTATGCTTTTGCTAGTTTTCTTGGAACTCACTATTATTAGAATTTTATTTTTGGTTAGATATTTTATTATGTAGGAAAGAGAAAAATCAATAAGGTTGGATGAAAGAATCATGAAATTTGGAGTTGAAATGGAAAAGATATAATGGTTTGAAGTTAAGAGATTTTTTTGATGCTATTGTTGCATGCTAGAGGTTTGTTGTTGCTGCTTTGTATTGTTTCTGTTCAATAGTATTATTTTCCATTCAATAATATTATTTTATCCAATTATGCTATTTTTATTCAATTATGCTATTTTTATCTAATAGTTCTATTACATTTGGTACTACTATTTTTATCTAATAATACTATTTTCATCCAATTGTACTATTTTCATCTAGTTACACTATTCTATCCAGCTACTTATTCTCTCTTTTTTTCATTCGGCTACTTTTATTTTGTTATTTATATTTCATTTTTTTTCTTTTCTTATTTTATTTTTTATCACTTGTTTTAAGTTACTTCAAATAATAACCATTGCTTAGAAGGTATTATTTAGAGAGTTGGAACTACAACCACTTAATTAATTAACTATCCATTAAAATAATCACACAATTAGTCTTTGTTATCTTTCAAACTTGTTGTATAGTTATTTTTTCTCTTAAAGTAGGTAGGGAGGATTTTTAGCTCACACATGGTCGGTATTAAAAGATATTGATTCAAATATGGATCTGATGGTGAGATTAATAATATACCACAACTTCTCCTCTTCTGAGAGTACCTTCAACTTATAAGACTAGATGGCATAGTTGAAGGCTTCTTACAACTTTGAACTCTTTATTATAGTCCTATTAATGAAATCAAACTTGATATTGAATTTTTGGATTATTGAAATTGTACATATATAAAAATTGATTATGTATTGGCAAATCAGAGACTTATTGGAACAAATTGAAAAATAAAAGATGTGTGAAATATTGTTTGGAGATATGCAAGAATAAATAAGAATGGTGGAAAAAAATCCAATTCAAACATGGTGGATTACTTGCAATTGGATGTTTGAATTTTCATTGTTTCATCTATACATTTACATCCATAAATAACACAAAATTAGGTAAAATATGATAGCATAATTACATGCTATACATCATGGTTTTATAAAAGTTGGATTTTTAGTTTTGGAATCGATCACCAATGTTGTATTACATGAAGTCTACTTGAGAATGCACTCAACACTTGACTGTGGAAGAAAAAATAGAACTTGCAACAAGATAATTTTAATAACTCTAATAAAATCTTAAATAAATTTCAATTAAATTATATCAATGCTAATCAATCTTTAATTAAATCCAAAAGAAGTCTCAAGAATTTAAAAAAGAAGCATAAAGAAATAATAAATTAATCTTAATAAAATATACATAACATCAAAATCATAAAAAAACATCAAAAATAGATATCTTAATTGAATTCTAATAAAATTCTAATGTAATATTTAGTAAATCTTAATAAAATCCTAAACCAATCTTAACTAAAATTTAAACAAAATCTTGGATTAAACCTAAATTAAATCCTAATTAAAATTCTAATAAATTTTAATCAAATCTTAAGTCAAATCCTAATAAAATTCTAATGAAACCAATATCAAATCTTTATCAAATCCTAATCAATCTCTAATCAAATCCAAATAAAATTCTAAATTCTAATCAAATTCAAACGAAATCTTAAATCTTAATCAAATTTTAGACAAATCCTAAATTCTAATCAAATCTAAAAATAACATAACTAAATTTTAGATCCTAAATCAATCTTAATCAATTTTTAATCAATCTTTAAATCTTAAATAATCCTTAACAATTCTATAGTAGATTAAAAAATTAATAACTAATAATTAAACCATTGATTTTGACTCAAAATTTGTATACCTTGTAACAATGAAGTATACAAAAAGTATAAAAATTGTGAAGAAGATTGCATACACCAATTACAAGAAAAGATCCCAAATCCTTTCAATTGTTGGCTACATTCTTTCTCCAACTTAGAAGTTTATCTTTCAATAAAGGTTTTTCCTTGCTAAATTATCCATTTTTTTCTGAAATTTGGATTGTGTGTAGATATTTAAGTCTAAATTGCTCTCACCAATTTTTACTTCAATTAAATTGGTAGATATTACCAAATCACAAAGTCTCTCACTCATTGTAAATATCAACCATTTAAGACCATAACCTACAAAACTCCCATATGCTTCAATCTAATTGCTTGATTGACCTCAAATATTTTACACACATTCACAACAAGTACAACAATAAGCTTAACAATAAGTTGACTCAATTTCACCTATTAGTACGCTACAAAATTCACAAAATCTTCGAATTTGTAATCATGTTTTTATTTTTTAAAATCTAAACCTACTAAGTATATTATTAACTTTAAAAATCCCTACTTTAATCATATTTTTATTTTTCAAAATCTAAACCTATTAAGTATATTATTAACTTTGAATGACTTTCTAGTTTTTTTTGAGTGACATAAGAGTATATTGAGGATTTCTTTCTTCAAGATTCAAATCCTTGATACTAGTTTGCTCTCAAATCTTACTCTTTGAATAGCAAAAGAACCCTTGAATCGCCAAAGGTGTGTGGTTTTGTTCCTTAGGGTTTGATATAGACCTAGGTTAACAATTGGTCTTCTCTGGGTATCAATTTCTGATAATTTGAGGTAAGTTTTGCTTTAATCTATTGTTAATTCTCTCTTAAATATACCTATATCAATTTTTTTATCAAAATTACTTTGATTTGGCTCTTTTATGCCTCTACAAAGTAAATAGAAGTCCCTTCTACAAAAGGCAGCATGAAGACTAAACATTTTACTACCTTTTATAATTTATTGTTGTTTTTTTTACTAAATATTTGTTCTAGACTCCTCTACAATAACACCCATATTTTTATTTTTCACCATATAATCATGTCACCACAACACACCGATCAAAATTAAGCTGACTTATATGTCAAAATGAATTTACAGCTAAAACATTTATATAAATTCCATTTATGGACCAAATTGTGTGAAAACAATTAGGATACTTCTGATTTCTATTTCCCTCTGACGGAGTGTTTTTCCACCATTTTTACACGTACTGGATATACACTGCAATGCTTAACTTATTGGAAATGGGTTGTCTACCTCATACAGTATGGAAGGTAGGCTGAGGTTGAGAGTCCAGGGGCTCATTCTGCACGGCTCTGGGATTAAGGGGATTGCCCGAGGCCGACACCGAAAACCCGAACGGATGAGAAACCTCGCGGATGGACAGGACAGACGGGTCCTCCAATCGTGAGAGGGGAATGGATGCCGAGAGAGCGCCGAACGAGCAATGGGAACGCAGCATGGAGGTGAGCGATCGCCCTTGTTGTGGAACGGCAACGCAACGCGACGCAGCTTCAATCCCGGGGCGACCAATGGGAGCGACGCCGCCTGATTCCCGAGCTCCTTATCCCATCTGTGCACCACCCATGGGGATAATATGGAGTTGTCTGATGGCGTTGGAAGTGCAGCGGAGCTGAGCTCAGGTAACACTTGACAGTGTGGTTTGCATCGGCGGAAGCGTTGGACGGTGTCGGCATTGGAGCTTTGGAGGGGGACGAATGGCATCCGCAATGGCTACCGCTGCTGCCCAGGCGACCCGGTTGGTGACTGGCGTCGCCGCCGCTCAGAAGTCGGGCTTCTTCAGCGGATGCAGCTCCGTGTCCATGCTGGGGTGCAGCAACGGCAGCCGTGTGTGCATGGCTGAGTGGCTGCCCGGCAACCCCCGGCCTTCGTACCTGGACGGATCCGCCCCGGGGTACGTGAGCAAGTGTTTGCAGTGGCGGTAGTGGAATGTAGAGAGCGTGGGTGGGGCCGTGGCATTGTGTGATGGGGTTGTGATGGTGCCCTGGGGATCAGACGAGTACCGCGAGCATGCAGGTTGCCGGCGTGGTTGGGAGGATGATGGTGTGTGTAGCGGTTGTACATGAGTGTGCGGAATGGGGACAATGAGGGGTGGGTAGTTGGTGTGGGCGGACTTGGCGCTGCTGGGGTGACGGGTTAGAATTAGGGTTATTTTCATGTGAAGGTGGGTCGTGGAGAGGCGAGGTGTACAGATGGAGAGTGGGGACGATGGATACGATGAACTGTTTGGCGTCGGAGGCGGTCGACGTAGGATGCGAGGGGTAGGAATGCGTAGTGTCCCTGCATTCCCGATGGGAAAGATCAAGCTTGGGCAGGCAACGGGGTAAAGCGGGACTGGTGATAGTGGCAATGTGTGATGCAAATGTGGTGTGTCGGTAAGAGGCGGAATCTGACGAGAAGTGTGGAATGATATGCAGAGACTTCGGGTTCGATCCGTTGGGATTGGGAGAGGTGCCGGAGAATCTGGAGAGGTTCAAGGAGTCGGAGCTCATCCACGCCCGGTGGGCCATGCTTGCAGTGGTGAGTAGTGGGGAATGAAGGATCGGGGGTATGGGAGGAGCGCAGTCCAGGGCTGCGGGAGTGGGTGTTCGTGAGGGGGAGGGAATGTGTTTGGAGATGTGGGGTGGGGTTGGAGCGGGGCATACTGAGATGTTTTGGGTTGGCGTGTGCAGCCCGGAGTGTTGATTCCGGAGGCTCTCGGATACGGCAATTGGGTGTCGGCGCAGAAGTGGGCCGCGACCCCAGGAGGACAGGCAACGTACCTGGGCAACCCGGTACCGTGGGGCACGCTGCCGGTGATCCTGGCAGTGGAGTTCATCGCGATCGCATTCGCGGAGTCGCAGAGGAACGGGGAGTCGGATCCCGAGAAGAGGAAGTACCCCGGGGGCGCGTTTGATCCTATGGGGTTCTCGAAGGGCGCGAACCTGGAGGAGCTGAAGCTGAAGGAGATCAAGAACGGTAAGCGGGAGTGGGGTGTGGTGAGGGCAGGGATGTGGAGGGGGATGAGGCGATATTGACAGAGGGTCCGGACAGCAGGGTGGGGATCGGAGGGAGAGGGAGACTAACGCGGTGGAGTGTGTGGAATTGTGCAGGTCGTCTGGCGCTAGTGGCATTCTTGGGGTTCGCGATCCAGGCCATCGCATACCCAGGGACGGGACCTCTGGAGAACTTGAAGACCCACTTGGCTGACCCATGGCACAACACCATCGCGAACATATTGATCCCCCGATCGGTGCTGTAGATGGGGAAGGTTTTGAACTCGTCGACATTTCAGTAGGCGGTGAAGTCATGCGAACAGTAGTGCAGGGTATGGAGTGGGGGTTTTTCCAGAGGAGATCTGGCTTGTCCATGCTGCCTCGGATGCTGGGGCTGTTGCATGCACGACATTGTAATATGAGGAGGGGCTGCTAGAAACGGGGGCTTCTCTGCACACAAGACTGGGAGCAGCACCTTTGTACGACCTATGTTGAGATGCGTCTGTCTGGCTTGTGGCACCACGAGGTGATGGGGAATGAGATGCTGGGTGTTAGCATGATAGTCCTTGTGATTGTCATTGTGTGGATGGTAGGGGTGGTGTGGAGATGGATTGCAGGGAAGTGAATGTAGGTGGAAGGAGTTGTGGTGTTGATGGTTGTGGATGTGTGGTTGCGGGTAACGGGCGTTGAACGTATTTTGTGCTGTTGGTATATGAAGGGAGAGAGCAGCATAGGAAGTCGGGACAGAAGATCATGTGCAGGAACGGGCATGTGATGTTGGAAACTATGTATGGCGCAGAAATGTAGAGTGGATGCGAGGGAGGGAGAAGGTGAAAATGCGGAAGTTTTGACTTCGTTTTGCGATGTACATGGGTGTGAAGCATCATGAGCAGGGACGATGATTTTTTTGAGTGATAGCGGCGTTGATGGTTGTGGATGTATAATTGTGGGTAACGGCTTTCAAACCTATTTTGTGCTGTTGGTATATGAAGGGAGAATGCAGCACAGGAAGCCAGGACAGAAGATTATGTGCAGGAAAGGGCATGTGTTTTTGGGAACTGTGTATGGTGCAGAAGTGTAGAGTGGATGCGAGGGAGGGTGGAGGTGAAATGCGGAAGTAATCGCTTCGTTATGGGATGTACATGAGTGTGTAGCATCATGAGCAGGGGCGATGATTTGTTACGAGTTTTAATGGAAGAAGAAATGTCTGTATACCCATGCCTACAGAAATAGACGTAGAACAATCAAGATTGCTGAGTGGCATGGAAGTGTATAAATCTTGCCATCCTTTAAGAAATTTCTATAGAATTTCACTTATTCCTCGATAATGAATAGAATATGAAGTATGGATGTTTTTGCAAGGTGAGAAAGCAAAATATATATAATGTGAGGTGCACAAAGTATTATTGGCAAATGTGATAACAACAATATCATACGAATGATATTAATTGTTGTATAAGAGAAATGTTTGTGAAAGAAAGAGAAACATGTGTAACAATATATTCGGTAGGATGAGACGAGCGATGGAAGAAATGTGATGGAATAACATTGGTACAACTGGAGTTAGTTATGCATTGATTGTGAGGGAAAAAAAAGTATTCACCTATTCTAACAAACTTTTTTTTCTAAAGAAAACTGAATGTCAAGAACATGAACAGAGAGAAAGAAGTGGCAGAATATCATTTTCATGTGTGAGAGTATATGTTGGGCAAAGACACTTGGAAGTTTTGTGTAACATGTGGCCATGAAATCTTGTCGAGGAATTTTCAAATTGGCTAAGGATGCAGAAAAGTCCAAGGTCTTAAGAAATTTTGGAAGGGTTTAGAATCCCATGTATCATCTCCTTTTCAAAATTGCAATATCTTTCTTAATTTTGCAAGTTTAGACTTAAAATTCAGAGTACTGGTGATAGCATAATATACTTATTCAACCTGGTTTTGGTTTTTTTGAGAAAATTCAGAACTTCTACAAATACTCATGTAAAAGATTGTGTAGGAGGATGATATGCCTCACATTAACTCCATTGTTACACCCTTCCAATATTTTTTTCTAAATCCTAATACTTTATCTATCTTTAGCATATTCCTTGCATCATGGTAATAGAATTTTGTATTGTAGAGATATATTATTGGAGACAACTACCACCTTTGGAAGGAGAAGATTAGATCTATTATAATTGATAAGAGATTGTAGAAGGTTGGATGTAGAAAATACAAGAAATTGATTGCATTGCCTATAGATCTAGCAAAGTTAGAGAAATGGGAAGATGGAGAGAAGCGAGTACTATTTGTAATTTGTCAAAATCCTTTTGGTTCTAAGTTCATGATAATAAGGAAAGAAATAAGCACAAAGGCTACATAACAGAGTCTAAAAGAAATATACAATGTTAAAAATATCTCAAGTATATTGTTCTTAAGTTTTAAATTCTAGCTTGTACAAATAAATGAAGGTAATAACATTGTAACACACATAGGTAAATTAAGAGAGATGGCTTAGTAATTTTTTCTTAATTGAAAAGAAAGTTTTGGACACACATTTTGTCATGGCATTATTAAGGATTCTTCTAAAGTCATACAATACTTTGTTGGCATTGTTAGAAGCACAACCTTCTATCAAGTTAATATTAACTATAATCACGGCTCAATTATTGCAATAAGAGTCTTATAAGAAGAGTGTGGAATCAATCTCTAAGATGGCTTTGGCTATGAAAAAAAAACCAAAGTTACATTTTCATACTTATATTCATACAAGGTATTTACATAATCACAAAAATGATACCAAATATAGCTATTGTGGCAAGAAAGGTTACTATGAGAAAGTATGTTAGACCAAAGAGAAAGATAAGAAGTCAAAAAAGTTAAAAGAAGACTTTTTATAAAGAGCCGGCTATTACAATAGACATGAAAGATTTAAAGAAAAATGAGTTTGTTTTTATTGCTATATTATTTGTTATTATAAGTGACAAAGAATGGTACATCAATTTTAGTACTTTTTAACACATGATAGGAAATCAAAGTTAATTTTGAAGTCACAAAAATCTACCACAAGGCCCTAAAATCTATTTAGACATGGATACCAAACTTGCCATCAAAGAAAATAATAAGAATTCTTTTTAGTTTTCAAACAACATTCAAAGTATGTACATGACATCTTGCATATTGAAGGATTAGCCAATTTTTTTTTTTTTTTGTTAGCAAAATGATACATCAAGATTATGAAGTGAATTTTAAGGCTAATACATGTCTTATGAAATGAAATAAAATAGCCACCAAAGATATTAGACATATTAGCATGTATGAATAATTGTGTCACAGACATATATATTTATTCTCATAATTACTTAGATAATATGAATAAATAGATGTAAATAAAAGTAAATTAATTTGATAATATCTTATAGAGAAGCTTCCTACAAGCTATATTGATAGGGTTTTAGCTTTACACATGACTATAGGTGATTGATAGATTGAACATTTGGCCAACCAGTTAGCTACATGTACTACATATTGATAGCTTGTGGCACAAGCTAATCATGTGGCGTACAAATAGGAAACTTGTCTTGCAAGCTAAAACATATGTCATGCAAATTGGACATGTATTGGAGGTCCTATAGAACGTTGCCACGTAGTTCTTAGTTAGATAATATATAGTAACAAGAATGAAGTCTTTTTCACTCTTCTCAATTCTTTGCTTGCTTTTAGTCAAATTTTAGGGATCTCTAGTTTTCTTGTCTTTTGGTAATAGCTATTATAGTTTCTTTTTAATATATATACTTTTTTATTTCTATTTTTTCATCTTTCTTTGAAAAAAAATTTACTTATTTTTTTGTTTTTTTCAAGTTTTTGTCCTTGATAGATTGACAAGGATACACTTATAATAGTAAAGATTTGTCTTTTTTAATTAAGAGTAGATTACTCCTTTTCTTTGATAAGACATAAACATATTAAAAATTATAGATTATCATCTTCAAATTGATATTATTCTTAGTATTTTGTTTTTTTTTCAAATCTTCTCTTCTATTTGTCTTGAGTGATATTAAACATCTTCTTTTTTCTAGTATTATCATGGCTGAGATTATTATAATGAAGAGAGCAATGGCACAAATGTGAGAGCAATTGAGGGAGTTAATACTTGCAATGCATGAACTCAATATACTACCACAAGAAGCAATAGAATTGATAGAAATTGAAGATATAAAGATGATTAGAGATGCTTCAATATTTGTACCAAATCATGCTACTTTTCTTATATTAGAATATTTTTTTAGTATTAGAGAATCAAGAATTGCCTTGTCCACAAAGTTTGATGGTACAAGATCAAAGTTTCAAAGATTCATCAAATAAGTACAATTAGTGATCAAACTTCAACCTCCAATACTATCCAACTAAAGAATCTTAAGTCAAGTTTATTAGAACATTACTTTCAATTTCAACATTATCATGGTTTTTATTTTATTTTTTCAAACGACAACATCTAATATTTGATACCTTAGAGGTCTTTTTGGCAGAGTTTTGATCTATGTATGAAAAATATGATGGAATTTTTATTGCAACCAAGAAGATTTGTATTTTGTAATAAGGTTATCAATCTGTAAGATTATATATCTTATAATTTAAAATTTTTATAACTAATATCAAGTAAGATGATATTGCATTGATTAGCTAATTTTCCTACAAATTATAATTTGAAGTAAAGAAATTGATGCTCAATTTGATATTCAAACATTGAATCAAATAATTGATTTTGATGTGAAATGTAACAATCAACTTTTTGAATTTCAATTTGAAAGTCGTACAATTGAACCTCAATATTTTTAAAATTCAATGGAAATATCAATATCTTTTCAATACATATATTTGGAAGTAGAAGATATATAAATTGATGCAATACATTTCAAAATTCTTATTGAGCAAAAAAAGATTTGTTATCATCAAGAAGGATTGTCTTCATATTATGGAGAACTTAAGCACAGTGCTCAACATTGTCGAAAGAAGCAACACAACTACAAAATGAGAAATATGGCTATTTCAAAAGGTAGTATGTCAAAAAATAAGTTTGTCCAAATACATTAAGAATTGTAGAAATGGAACCTTGTACAATACCTAATGAAGGTCTTATTCTTTTTTTAATATCTCCTCCTTGTTTTATAATAGATGTTAGTTTATGTCTCGGACCAAAAATACAAACAAGAAATCTAAACAAGAAGTTCAAGAAGAAATGACAAGAACTAGATTATCAGATGAGTATAAGAGCAACGCCAAGAGAATTGAGCTAGAGCTTCAAGAGGTGTGTTGTCGAGACTGAAGAACTCTTTAGCCTCGACTCCTATATATACTACTGGCCTATGGTTCTAAGGAAGCGCATTAAGAAGCTTCCCAAGAACTATGAAGCTTCTCGAGCAACTACCCAAGAGCTAGGAAGCTTCTCAAGTAACTTCTTAGAATCTACTAAAATATTCTAAAAATCTTCTAAAGCCTTCTAAAGGAATCTTCAAAGAATCTTTAGGGAATCTTCAAAGAATCTTTAGAGAATCTTTGAAGAATATTCTAAGAAAATATTCAAAGAATCTTCTGGAAGTTTCTAGAGACTTCTTTCTAGAAGGTTCTAGAAACTTGTCTCTAGAAAGGTCTAAGGACTATGTCCCTAACATCACCTCCTCTTTTAGCTTCGAGGTCTCCGAGAAGCAATGTTATCGTCAGTCAATACCAATGCAAGAAAATGAAGATCTGTCGCATAACCTCTGCTATGAACTCCAATTATTGTTCACGAGGCAAGTGATTCAATGGTCCTTGAAGCCAACGGTAGTGACCCACGCCTTCAACTTCTGACCAAGTATGGACCTCCGTGTCTTCATTGTGAAATTATCTTGCAAACACTCCTTCTGGCTGACCACTGTAGGCAGGCTCGACCTCAAATACAATCACCAGCGATCTGTTACTCGGAATCCTTCGACGTCGTCGTGGTGCAAGCAGTTCTTCATCTCGCGGTCGTCTTCGTGAGCTAGTTGCTTGAGATGACATGACAAGTATAGTATCTTGGCTATCCATATTCAAAGGCTAAAACAATAAGAACAAACTTGGGCTACTAACAAAGTTCTATGCTATCTTGGAGAGAATGACTACATCAACTATGGATTTTGGTGGTGCTCTCTCCTCTTTTCTATTTTCTGGATGAGCAAGCTTCAGTAAGAAGCTATCGTCGAACCGGCTTGGATTTCTAAGGATATCGTCGATGAAACTCCTGTACCTTTTGCGGCGCATTCGTGAGATTTTCGGCCGGCTCCCATGTTCGTTCATTAATATCGTAACCGCTCCAAT